GGGGGAAAAAAACTTCTTAATTGCTTTATGAAGGTGGAAATAATGACCAAGTCATCACATATGCAGAAAATAGATGTTTCAGTAGGAGTTAACTCTGGGTATGACTGCTTCCCAAAAGCCAACAAAACAAAACAAAAAATAATCACAAGCTGTCTTAATAGAAATACAGTACTCATAGTGTGACTCTGGGCAAGTATTTACCCTCTACAAGTCCGTTTCATCATGTACAAAATGGGAAAAGAATTAAGTGAGACACTGTGTAAAGAGCTTGAAACAGAAGCGAATATTCAACATGTCTCCATAAGTAGCTGGTAGGATTGCAAGCATAAGGAAAATGCTACAGTCCTAGCGGACTTCTGTGCTGGTGGCATCATGCAGAACAGTTTATACTCTGCGCCCGGTGTGGTCAAAGCATATTCCTCTGGTTTCTTGGGTGATATTGTCGCAATCCTGTGTCCTGATATTCAACAGGATACAGAGCTTCACCTGGAGTGGGAAGACTGAGGGAGGGAAGGCATGACTGTCTTCTGATAGCTGAAGGATTAGCCCTAGGAGCAAAGGGAGAAAGTTCACTAAAACAAATCTCATGTTAAATAAGGTTTGAAGAGAAAACTGACTGTGTCAGGAAGTTGTTAGCTCCCTGACTCCGCTGATGGGTGAGTTGCAATCAGAGGCTGGACAACCACTTGATGAAAGCATTGTCAGAAAAATGAGATTGGGCCAGATAATCTTCATGGTCCCTTCCAATTCAGGGAGTCTAAGATGCTCTTAAAATATAGCACCTGGAACTGAATGATGCCATAGAGGTGAGTTAGTGAGACAAATACCCTCCTTGCTAAAGATATTGTTACTTAAATCTTGAAGATTTCTATGTTACGTGAAGAAGAGAGAAAACTCAAAATTAAACATATTTGTTATATCTGTCTGTTGTTAATATTATGTCACCTATGCCAGATGTTCAATCTATTCATCTTTACCCTTGTATTCATTCACTTATCTTTTCAATATTTCATATTTATTTATAAGATATGTCTTTCCCCTCAGGTATTAAGGATACAAAAATGAACAGACATAAGAACAAGAAACACATGCAATGTAAGGGCCCAGTGGTGGAATTAAAAGACATGGGCAGAAAAGATAAGGACAGAGATTCACTCTGGCTAGGGATGGTGGGAAGTCTTCCTTGAAATATTTGAGCTGCATCTTAGAAGATAGATGAGGTTTTCTAGATGTAGAATGAGTAGAAAATCATTCAGGCAAATGGAAGAGCTTATTAGAAGTCAAAATAGACAAGAGTACCAAGTTTTGGAGGGAAATGTAACCAGGTAAGACCAGGTCTCAAGGATATATGAAAGGCCAAGAACATTAGGAATATGTATCACAATTCTAAAAGGAAAGAGACTTAAACACCCAGCTTTCTCTTTCTTCTCTTCTTCTCATTTCTTGAGATCCCCTCATAAAACACAATACGTTTTCATTCTTTAAACTGGTGACCTCATTCAGAATGTAAGTTTTTAGAATTTTCTTGCCTCCCAGCTATCCTTATATTTTAAGAGAATTTGAAGCTATAAAAATCTGGAATTAAAAAAAAAGAATCTGGAATTAGTCTCTTCTTGGTAGTACATTTCAGATTATTGATTCCTCAGAATACACCTCACCTCCTCCATACTCCTTTTGTTTGGCTTGCCTTGGATCTCCCATCAGAACACTCTCTGCAAGCTTGTCATGTGTGGAGCACTCTTGGGTTCCTTTAATGTTGCCTCCAATTAACTGAAATTCCTTTCCCTCCGTTTCTTTAGCTAACAAGCAGTGTTGATAATGGGAATGATGAAAGTGAGAGCTGAAGAGGCTCATGAAGCCTTAACTTGACCTATAAAATAACTCTAGCATGATCCTTGCAAAACCTGTATGCAGGTCAAGAAGCAACAGTTAGAACCAGACATGGAAAAATGGACTGGTTCAAAATTGGGAAAGCACTATGTCAAGACTATATATTGTCACCCTGCTTATTTAACTTACATGAAGAGTACATCAAGCAAAATGCCAGGCTGGATGAAACACAAGCTAGAATCAAGATTGCCAGGCGACAGGCTGGATGCATGAGACAAGTGCTCGGGGCTGGTGCACTGGCAAGACCCAGGGGGATGGGGTGGGGAGGGAGGTGGGAGGGGGGATCGGGATGGAAAATACATGTAAATCCATGGCTGATTCATGTCAATGTATGGCAAAAACCACTACAATATTGTAAAGTAATTAGCCTCCAACTAATAAAAATAAATGGAAAAAAAACTTTAAAAAAAAGATTGCCGGGCGAAATATCAATAACCTCAGATATGTAGATGACACTACCCTTAAGGCAGAAAGCGAATAGGAACTAAAGAGCCTCTTGATGAAGGTGAAAGAGGAGAGTGAAAAGGCTGGCTTAAAACTCAACATTCAAAAAACTAAGATCATGGCATACGGTCCCATCACTTCACGGCAAATAGATGGGGCAACAGTGGAAACAGTGACAGACTTTATTTTTTGGGGTTCCAAAATCACTGCAGATGGTGACTGCAGCCATGAAATTAAGATGCTTCCTCCTTGGAAGAAAAGCTATGACCAACCTAGACAGCATATTAAAAAACAGAGATATTAGCAACAATCATGATCCCAATATGGGTTCAGTCAGTTTAGTCGCTCAGTCGTGTCCGAATCTTTGTGACCCCATGGACTGCAGCACATCAGGCTTCCCTGTCCTTCACCATCTCCCAGAGTTTGCTCAAACTCATGTCCATAGAGTCGGTGATGCCATCCAACTATCTCATCCTCTGTCATCCCCTTCTCCTCCTGCCCTCAATCTTTCCCAGCATCCGGGTCTTTTCAAATGAGTCAGTTCTTTGTATCAGGCGGCCAAAGTATTGGAGTTTCAGCTTCAACATTAGTCCCTCCAGTGAACACTCAGGACTGATCTCCTTTAGGATGGACTGGTTGGATCTCCCTGCAGTCCAAGGGACTCTCAAGAGTCTTCTCCAACACCACAGTTCAAAAGCATCAATTCTTTGGTGCTCAGCTTTCTTTATAGTCCAACTCTCACATCCATACATGACTACTGGAAAAACCATAGTTTTGACTAGATGGACCTTTGTTGGCAAAGTAATGTCTCTGCTTTTTAATGTGCTGTCTAGGTTGGTCATAACTTTTCTTCCAAGGAGCAAGCCTCTTTTTATTTCATGGCTGCAGTCACCATCTGCAGTGATTTTGGAACCCCAAAAAATAAAGTCTGTCACTGTTTCCACTGTTTCCCCATCTATTTGCCATGAAGTGATGGGACCAGATGCCATGATCTTAGTTTTCTGAATGTTGAGCTTTCAGCCAACTTTTCACTCTTCTCTTTCACTGTCATCAAGAAGGTCTTTAGTTCTTCTTTGCTTTCTGCCATAAGGGTGGTATCATCTGCATATCTGAGGTTATTGATATTTCTCCCGGCAATCTTGATTCCAGCTTGTGCTTCATCCAGCCGAGTGTTTCTCATGATGTATTCTGCGTATAAGTTAAATAAGCAGGGTTAAATAAGCATATAAGTTAAATATATAGCCTTGACATACTCCTTTCACTATTTGGAACCAGTCTTTTCTTCCATGTCCAGTTCTAACTGTGGCTTCCTGACATGCATACAGATTTCTCAAGAGGCAGGTCACGTGGCCTGGTATTCACATCTCTTTAAGAATTTTCCAGTTTGTGGTGATCCACACAGTCAAAGGGTTTGGCATAGTCAATAAAGCAGATGTTTTTCTGGAATGCTCTTGCTTTTTTGATGATCCAATGGATGTTGGCAATTTGATCTCTGGTTCCTCTGCCTTTTCTAAATCCAGCTTGAACATCTGGAAGTTCATGGTTCACATACTGTTGAAGCCTGATTTGGAGAATTTTGAGCATTACTTTGCTAGCGTGTGAGATGAGTGCAATTGTGTGGTAGTTTGAGCGTTCTTTGGTATTGCCTTTCTTTGGGAGTGGAATGAAAACTGACCTTTTCCAGTCCTGTGGCCACTGCTGAGTTGTCTAAATTTGCTGGCATATTGAGTGCAGCACTTTCACAGCATCATCTTTTAGGATTTGAAATAGTTCAACTAGAATTCCATCACCTCCCTTAGCTTTGTTCCTAGTGATGTTTCCTAAGGCCTACTTGACTTCATATTCCAGAGTGTCTGGCTCTAGGTGAGTGATCACACCATCGTGATTATCTGGGTCATGATAATCTTTTTTGTATAGTTCTTCTGTGTTTTCTTGCCACACATTCTTCTTAATATCTTCTGGTTCTGTTGGGTCCATACCATTTCTGTCCTTTATTGAGCCCACCTTTGCATGAAATGTTCCCTTGGTATCTCTGATTTTCTTGAAGAGATCTCTAGTCTTTCCCATTCTATTGTTTTCCTCTATTTCTTTGCACTGATCACTGAGGAAGACTTTCTTATTTCTCTTTGCTATTCTTTGGAATTCTGCATTCCAATGGGTTATTCAGTTTTAATCCTGTTTTCGTCTCTCTGAGTACAGCAGTAGTTTTAATAAAGAACTGCTGAGAGAAACAAAGAACTGCAATCCCCCGTCACTACTATTTAATGATTTCAGCAATAATTGATACTCCCGTTGGTCAAGGGGTTGAGTGTGACTATCTGCAAAGAAGATAAAATATGGCGTGCCTGCTCGCTGTCTCCGCCCACGCCGCCGTTGCTTAGGGCCCGGCCTCGCTCCTCCTGCTTCTCCGCCTTCCCACCAAGGGGAACGTGGCCGACCGGAAACTGTACGTCCAGGGCGTCCCGCCTGGCACCAGTGAGAACGAACTAAAGAAGGCATATAGAAAATTAGACAAAGAATACCACCCTGGTAAGAATCCAAATGCTGGTGACAAACTCAAAGAAATAAGTTTTTCATATGAAGTACTATCAAATCCTGAGAATCTCGAACTATATGACCGATATGGAGAACAAGATTTTCGGGAAGGTAGCGGTGGAAGTGGTGCCATGGATGATATTTTCTCTCACATTTTTGGAGGAGGTTTATTTGGCTTCATGGTCAATCAGAGCAGAAGTCGAAATGGCAGAAGAGAAGACATGATGCATCCACTCAAGGTATTTTTAGAAGACCTGTGTAATGGCAAGACAGCCAAACTGCAACTTAGCAAGAATGCACTCTGCAGTGCATGCAGTGGCCAAGGTGAGAAATCTGGAGCTGTTCAGAAGTGTAGTGCTGGTCGGGGTCGAGGTGTGCACGTCATGATCAAACAGCTGGCTCCAGGAATGGTACAGCAGATGCAGTCTGTGTGTTCTGACTGTAATGAAGAAGGAGAGGTAATTAATGAAAAGGACCGCTGTAAAAAATGTGAAGGGAAGAAGGTGATTAAAGAAGTCAAGATTCTTGAAGTCCACGTAGACAAAGGCATGAAACATGGACAGAGAATTACATTTACTGGGGAAGCAGACCAGGTCCCAGGAGTGGACCCAGGAGACGTTGTTCTTTTGCTTCAAGAAAAAGAACATGAGGTGTTGCAGAGAGATGGGAATGATTTTCACATGACACATAAGATAGGACTTGTTGAAGCTCTGTATGCATTTCAGTTCACATTTAAGCACCTTGATGGACCTCAGATTGTGGTAAAATACCGCCCTGTCAAAGTAATCGAACCAGAATGTGTTCTTATAGTTCAAGGTGAAGGAATGCCACAATATCATAATCCCTTTGAAAAAGGTGATTTTTACATAAAATTTGATGTGCAGTTTCCTGGATCAACCTAGACAAGCTTTCTGAATTAAAAGATCTTCTGCCATCTAGACCAGACGTTCCAAATATTATTGGAGACACAGAGGAGGTAGCACTTCAAGAATTTGATAGCATTCAAGGCTCAGGAGGTGGTCAGAGGCGTGAAGCCTATAATGATAGCTCTGATGAAGAAAGCAGAAGCCATCATGGACCAGGAGAGCAATGTGCCCATCAGTAAACCCTGCAAACAAATTGCACAGGTGGATTTTCTTTCCACATTGGCCTGATTTGTTTTCCGCAATCCAGCTGGAGCATCTGGTCAACCCAGATGAACTGATGGACATCTCTTGGTCTATGTGTAACTTTATAAATTGGTATAGTATCTACAGAGTGTATAATTTATACTCACCACAAAGCTTTACATCTTCATCTCAACTGTTCTATAGCAGAATAAAACACTTGAAAGGAAACAAGACTACGTTTCACACATGGGTTATAAGTTTCAGTCCTGATATCTATGCTTGATTTTTATCAGTTTTGTGTAGATTTTATGTTTCATATTTTAAATTCAAATCCCACATTGTAAAGTTTGTGTACAGTTTGTCCTGAAGCTTTATGTTTGGCTGCACCTGCATAAGCTGCTACAAATAGAATAAAGAATTTCATAGCCTGTTTCTACCATTTAGATGCATGGAAAAATGGGCTTTGCACACAATGGGTTTGGAGCTGACTGGGAACAATGGAAAAAATATCATTAGCTGAGCTGTGGTTATAAAGTTTTGGGTGGGGGTATGTTTCTTTTTCTTTCTTTCTTTCTTTCTTTTTTTTTTTTTGTACCATCTTGTGAAAGGTTTCTGGAACTGAATAATAAAAAGCAGTTGGTGTTTATTTAAAAAAAAAAAAAAAAGCTGTGCTTGGAGTCCCTTAGCTTGTGAAATTACCAAGACCCATTATTTCAGCATGGTTGTCTCCAGGCCAGCTTCAACACAAGAAAAAAGGACTGGTAAGATGCCTTCTCCTGAACAGTTTAATTTGTTTGACACATCTTATTGGTAAAAGCTCAGGTGAAGGGATACTGAAGCTGGACGAGGGCTGGGATCTCTAAATATGTTGAAAATGTTATCTGTTCTTTCTCAAATATGTCTCTCCCCTTTAGGTATTTGCTCTGTGATAGCCTTTTCCCTTGGCAGCCGTTGAGTCTCTGTGCCTCGTATTTCAAAACCGATAAGGAAAGGCGAGACCCTCCTGTGCTGAGCGGGGCACCTGGGGAAGAGAGGCCATATGTGACTTGGGCTGCGTAGCCTCAGCCAGTGCTCGCCCACCTCCCCCTTGCTGTGCAGGCCTCGCTTGGCTAGACGGCAGAAGGTAACAGAGAAGGAGAAAATAAATGGGCTTTCTCTGAAGGACTCACACATGCACTGTCTCTAGTGATCTCCTTATCTGCACACTTGGCAAATTCTTTACAACATCTGATCAAGGAAGGACTTTTTTTGATGTTTTTGCATGTTCTAGATTTACTGCCCTGCTGCTGGGATATGGTGAGATACCCTTATCAAGAGCCTCTTCAGAGCCTTTTCCAGATGGCTTGCAAAGTCTGTGTATTTTTAAATAAACATCAAACTAGTCCTGGAATGTGGCTTCTCTGGAGCTAAAGCAACATTTGCATAAAGCAGGAGAGTAGATGCCAGACCCTAATCCAACTGTGTCCCTTCTGTCTCCCCTTCCTGTCTCACCCTAGACTTCCCATCACGTTAATTCTGCTGTCAGAACCACTCCGTAAGTCCCCAGGATCAGGACTGAACTACTGGAAGGGAAGCTCCTCATGGCCTCCAGGCTTCTGCCTTTCTAGCTGCCTTGAGCCTGACTCTGTCGGCCAGTGCTGGGAGACTCACAGGTGGAAGGAGTTGGAGATTTTTGATCTGCTTATTACTCAAAGGCTTCAAAGCTCGGATCTATATGTCTACCATGATCAGGATCTCCAATAGAGTGGGGGAGGGGGCAGGAGAGGTGTAGAGGGAGGCTGATTCACGTGAAAGCAGACACCTGGGCAATAAAGCTGAAAACCCCCACTTCTTATCCATCCCTGTATCACAACTCCCATTACCTAGGAAGTCATAGCATTCGCATACCCATCATAATGGATTCTCAATGAGAACCTCTTCCCAAATTCATGTTAATAGCCCCCTTCCCATTGTCCTCAGGTTTGCTGTAATGTGCCAAACCTGAACCCTTCAACATCAAGGTCAATTATGCTCAAAGTGCCTACGTATTTCCAAACTTGGAGAAGACACCCCCCAAGTGGAAGATTCCTGAAGCAAAACCTCCCATAATGGACAAGCCCTGGACCTTGAGGAGTTTTCATAGAATCCAGGAGTCAACCAATATCTGACTTGGACTCTATTTGCAGGAATTCTTGATCTTTAAGGGTTACACCCACACATATATATGCACACACACACACATTCCCTAGTTAAACCTGGTCATCTTGAATACTGGGGTAGTCTGCTTGGTTTATCTTCTTCCACAGGAAAAAAAGCAGTGATTCAGACTCTATAAACAACAACTGGTGGTCTGAGAGCTAAGGCAGGATTAAGAGCAGGACGAGGTGGAAAACAGGCTGACATCCTAAATGCATTGCATCCAGATATGTGGACTTATATATAAATTCTAGAGGGTCAGAGGCAGAAAAAGGCAATGATATGTTGCTTTTCAGATATGTGATCTTGGGTACATATATTCTCTGAGCCTTGGGCTCTTCATATGTGAGAACAATGATCATACTAACCTCCCAGAGATGTGATAAGACATAAAGGCTAATGGCCAAGTGTTATATGAATGTCAATAACAACAATGATAACAAAAATAATAACAGCTGCCACCAAGAAGGGAAGTAGGGAAAAGCACTGCAAAAGAAGTAGAGTTACCTGGACAGCAGAACTGAAGAAGCTGCCTTAGCCTAGGTAAATCTGCACTTCCTTCTCTTGAGATAAGAGAGCTGCTCCTTCTCACCTTCCACATTGTTTCTCTACTCTAATGCTCCTTTCTCTTCTCACAAATTACACAGACTCAGCTCAGCAAATGTTTGTTCCCCGCAATGGCTGCCAGTCTGGCCGCTTGCTCACCGACCTTGGGGATTTGTGTGGATCATAGTATCAGTGACTAATGCAGCCCTAGAGGTCAAGTAAATGGACACAGTTTGAAAGAGAGAAAGGATTCCTCCCATTTCTCACCAGCCTGCTCCATTTTCCTTCCCTGCTTAAGCTATCCTATCTGTACCAACAGAAATATAGTGCCCAGATTGAGGGATATAAATTTCCACTCTACTTTAGACCTGGTCTAATCACACTTTATATTTTCTGTTCAATTCTAGACACTTTGTTTTGTAGAAAATATTAACTAAGGAAGAAAGAGCAGGATGAGGAAAGATCTGGAAATCAGGTCTTAGGAGAGACGAATTAAGGAACTGGAAATGTATATTACTCGAGGGGTACACCTGACAGCTCCCTTCAAATATTTGGAGACATAGCCTGTGGAAAACCAATTAAGAGCTGTGTGTTGCCCCCAGAAGGCAGCAAAGGAGTAAGCTCAATGGATGCAAGTCCTAAGGAGACAAACTCCTATTCCATATAAAGGAGTATTTTCTAGTATATAAAGCAGTTCAAAATCAGGAGAATCTCCCTTATATTTATAGTGATCTCCCCGTTGCAAGTGGTACCAACTCCAGAACATTGTAGTGAAGATTGAATGAGGGTATAAAGGATAAAGTCTTTACATTCCTTCCACATCCAAGCTTTTTGTTGTCCCTTTGCCCACTTTCATTTGTCCCACTTTAATTCTCTAAGTCTTTCGCAGAGGGGCACCAGTGAGGTTGAAATAAGCAAGGAATTCCCAGCAGTTGTCAGCTTCAGCAGTGATCTTGGGAAACTCACTCACCTAAGAAAAAACAAAAGACTCTTGGATTATGTTCAGGAAGTGTGTGGCGAAAGAGAGAAGGGAACAGATTCCATCTCTATGAGATAAGAAGCAGTTAGATGGCCATCAAAAATATCCAAAGGCAATGCTGACTTGAAAGCTGGGTTAGTAGTTAATGGTATCTCATTATTGGGAAGGTGTTTCTCTCTACATCTGCCAGTTCAGCTCAGTTACTCAGTCATGTCTGACTCTTTGCAACCCCATGGACTGCAGCATGCCAGGCCTCCCTGTCCATCACCAACTCCCAGAGTTTACTCAAGCTCATGTCCATTGAGTCGGTGATGCCATCCAACCACCTTATCCTCTGTCGTCCCCTTCTTCTCCCACCTTCAATCTTTCCCAGCATCAGGGTCTTTTCAAATGAGTCAGTTCTTTGCATCAGGTGGCCAAAGTATTGGAGTTTCAGTTTCAACATCAGTGCTTCTAATGAATATTCAGGACTGATTTCCTTTAGGATAGACTGGTTGGATCTCCCTGCAGTCCAAGGGACTCTCAAGAGTCTTCTCCAACACCACAGTTCAAAAGCATCAATTCTTTGGTGCTCAGCTTTCTTTAAAGTCCAACTCTCACATCCATACATGACTACTGGGAAAACTATAGCTTTAACTAGATGGACTTTATTGGCAAAGTAATGTCTCTGCTTTTTAATATGCTGCCTAGGTTGGTTATAGCTTTTTTTCCAAGGAGTAAGCATCTTTTAATTTCATGGCTGCAATCACCATCTGCAGTGATTTTGGAGCCCAAAAAAATAAAGTCTGTCACTGTTTCCCCATCCATTTTCCATGAAGTGATGGGACCAGATGCCATGATCTTAGTTTTCTGAATGTTGAATTTTAACCCAACTTTTCCCCTCTCCTCTTTCACTTTCATCAAGAGGTTCTTTAGTTCTTCTTTGTTTTCTGCCATAAGGGTGGTGTCATCTGCGTATCTGAGGTTATTGATATTTCTCCCAGCAATCTCGATTCCAGCTTGTGTTCCATCCAGCCCAGTGTTTCTCATGATGTACTCTGCATATAAGATAAATAAGCAGGGTGACAATACTTTGACGTACTCCTTTCCCTATTTGGAACCAGTCTTTTGTTCCATGTCCAGTTCTAACTGTGGCTTCCTGACATGCATACAGGTTTCTCAAGAGGCAGGTCAGGCAGTCTGGTATTCTCATCTCCTTGAGAATTTTCCACAGTTTATTGTGATCCACACAGTCAAAGGGTTTGGCATAGTCAATAAAGCAGATGTTTTTCTGGAATGCTCTTGCTTTTTCGATGA